CAGGCCGTCAATGCTGTTTGACACCAAGGACGTCATTGAGCCGACAAGTACGAACAAGTTCTGGGTCGACGTTCAACTTCGCTATGGCGACTACGACTCACACGACATTGAGCGTTACACACGTGCGAAGTATCTCGACTACACGACCGATAGCGCGAGTATTTACCCGTCTGCCACCGGTCTAATGATTGGCATTGATCTCGCATACAACCTGTACTCCGCTTATGGCATGTACTTCCCCGGTCTCAAGGTACTTATTCAGCAGGCCATGGCCAAGGTCATGAAGGCCAACCCTGCCTTGTATGTTCTTCGCGAGCGTATCAGAAAGGGTCTGCAGCTCTACGCTTCGGAGAACACCCAGGAGTTCCTAAATTCGCAGAACTATTCTGAACTCTTCAGCAACCAGACTCAGCTGTTCATTGATGACACCAACGTCTACCGTGTTACAATTCACAAGACATTCGAAGGCAACTTGACGACAAAACCAATCAACGGAGCCATCTTCATCTTCAACCCTCGCACCGGTCAGCTCTTCCTCAAGATCATTCACACAAGCGTCTGGGCAGGCCAGAAGCGTCTCGGTCAGCTCGCAAAGTGGAAGACTGCCGAGGAAGTTGCAGCCCTGATCCGCTCCCTGCCCGTGGAGGAACAGCCGAAGCAGCTGATTGTCACCCGCAAGGGTCTCCTTGACCCTCTCGAGGTCCATCTGCTCGACTTCCCCAACATTTCCATTCGCGCCTCCGAGCTGCAACTTCCGTTCCAGGCTGCGATGAAGGTTGAGAAGCTGGGTGACATGATTCTTCGTGCTACCGAGCCGCAGATGGTTTTGTTCAACCTTTATGACGAGTGGCTCAAGTCTCTTTCGTCATACACGGCATTCTCGCGTCTGATTCTCATTCTTCGAGCTCTGCACGTTAATCCCGACAAGACCAAGCTCATTCTTCGACCTGACAAGACGGTCATCACACAAGACCACCATATTTGGCCCACACTGTCGGACGAAGACTGGGTCAAGGTCGAAGTGCAGCTTCGCGACCTCATCCTGAATGACTACGGAAAGAAGAACAATGTCAACGTGTCGAGTCTGACCAGCAGCGAGGTTCGCGACATTATTCTCGGCATGGAGATCTCGGCGCCCTCGATGCAGAGGCAGCAGGCTGCGGAGATTGAGAAGCAGCAGCAGGAACAGCAGCAGCTGACCGCTGTCACGACCAAGACACAGAACGTGCACGGCGAGGAGCTCGTCGTGACGACGACGTCTCAGTTCGAGCAGCAGACTTTCGCCTCCAAGACGGAATGGAGAACTCGCGCGATTGCCACGTCCAACCTACGCACCAAGTCGAACAATATCTACGTCTCCTCCGTGGACAATGACTCGGATGACATCACCTATGTAATGCCCAACAACATTCTCAAGCGGTTCATCACCATTGCCGATCTTCGCGTTCAGGTCGCCGGCTATCTGTACGGAACCTCTGTTCCCGACAACGACCAAGTCAAGGAGATTAAGTGCATCGTCATGATCCCCCAGATCGGCGGTCTCCGCAACGTGCAGCTCCCCCAGCAGCTGCCGCAGCACGAGTACCTCGAGAACATGGAACCCCTCGGCGTCATCCACACCATGTCCGGCTCGGAGCTGCCGTACATGTCGGCCATGGATGTTACCGAACACGCCAAGCTGCTTGACACACACTCGACCTGGGACAAGAACGACACCATCACTGTCGCCGTCGCCTTCACGCCCGGCTCCGTCTCGCTCTCGGCCTGGGGTCTCACGCCGCAGGGCTACAAGTGGGGCGCCGAGAACAAGGACCTCGGAAGCGACCAGCCGCAGGGCTTCACGACGAACATGGGCACCAAGCGCAAGCTGCTCCTCAGCCCCCGTTTCCGCGGCTTCTTCCTCGTGCCGGAGACGGGCAAGTGGAACTACAGCTTCATGGGCAGCGCCTTTGCGGGCATGGAGAAGAAGCCCGTGCACGTCAAGCTCGACACGCCGCTGCCGTTCTACAGCGACCAGCACCGTCCCATCCACTTCCACAGCTTCGCCGAGCTGGAGGACATTTGGGTGGACCGACAGGACAACTTTGCGTAAAGCAGGCAACGAGAGCAAGGCACATCACACGCAAGAGGGAGACATGCAGAAGAAGGAGGGCGAAGAAGACAGGGAGGGGTGGTGGAATCAAAAGACTGTAAACGCGGTTGAGGCTTGGAACCCGGAACACGGTAGGCTCGAACATGGGATTTTCTGGGCTTTGTATGATGTGCCCCCCGGCACCGAGGGATGCCGAGCGGAGGGCCAGCGAGGGGGAGGGCCAGCGAGGCGGTCCGACAGGGAGGCACATTGGAGAGAGGAGGGCCGTCTTGGGAAATCTGGTGATTTGCGGTGATTGGCGTTTTGCGATGGACCTCGGACCGCGATGTACGTGTACAATTAATGGCAAATGTAACTACCAAGAATGATGCATTCGGTTTTGACTACATGTATGATCAACTCTGGGTACCATGCATGTTCCGTGTGGGACCCAAACTTCGGTTCGCTCGACCGAAAAGAAACATTTGTCATGGTCGGAAGATCAAGGAAAGGATGGCCTTGGGAGAAAAGCCGCGGCAGGATGATCGCCGTGATCTCCTGAGGAGTCTCCCATCGCCTTAAACCTTCCAAGGGGGGTAAGGTAACAGGACCGATCGAATGGCTGGCTCACGAGAAATCAAAGGCGCACCAGGGTCAGCATCGGGGCTTACCAGCCCGCGCGGCTATGTTTGATACGTTACGCCGTCGAGGGTATTTTTTCCGCTTCGTAGAGTCATGGTGATTTCGGCGTCTTTGCGGTCGGCGAATTCTTTTTCTCGGTCGCAGTTTGATACCCAATGTGACGTGACGTCTGTCTGCAGCCGAAAACCCCGATACTGTTCCGCAACCCCGGAACGAAAGGGGCCCCCAATGCCTAGCTCACGTGTTCTTTGTTCTTGTATCATGGCGCGTGCCGAATATACAAACTCTGTCCCAGATGCACGATGTCTGCCTGCCTCATATGTGTCAAGCTATCGAAGTCTATCTCGATACAAAAGTGCCGAGTACTGAACCCCTGCAATATTCGGCCAGCACCAGGCACCTCCTTCCTCTCGTGACACGATCAGGGTAGCAAAGAGCTGCCCAAGCAATGGCCAGCATCGGCACAAAGCGGCAAAGTCTCCAGCGAAACGGCCATGAGGTATGCATGTACAATCTAAAACGGATGCAGAGATGAAAGCAAAGGCGGTTTGTGTTTTAGCCTCTGGTCTTAGCAAGTGCTGATTCAGCTCACCGTGTGGAAAGCAGGGGCGTGTCAAAATTGGCGCCGTTCATGCGTTGATGCGTGCGTCTACGTCTTCGTCCTGGGGACGTGCTCCAGATACCACATCTCGGCAGCCGATCTCGGCGGCTGTGCCCTATATTCGACGCAGAGTATGGCTGGGGAAACGTCGCTCCCGCCTTTTCTTCTTCTTCTTCTTCTTCTTTTTTTTTTTTTTATTATTTTTTTGAAAGTTAAAATAAAGAAAAAAATATCAAAAATTCCCTTGCCACTGTGGAAATAGTGCGTGATGCAAGGGTGTCGCATTCCGTGCTGTTGATCTTATGAAGGGGCCTGTCATGAGCTGCCAACAAAGACGCGCCTTGTAACTGAAACCCCTGGCGAGCGCCACGCCATGCAAGTAATGGAGAAGGATCAAGAGCATGGGCTCATGTCGATGACAGGACGGATGTCACCGCGGGAGGACAATTGATGGATGGCTCAGCCTGTTCTTTGGGAAATAGTGGAGATGACTAGAGCTGCAGGTACGCGCAAGGCGCAGCTTAAAATAACCGTTGACCTTGTCGCATGGACGATCCGAAATGATGATGTCCAGGGCTATCGAAGTCCAGGGCTATCGAAGTCCAGGGCTGTCGAAGTCCAGGGCTGTTGAAGTCCAGGGCTGTTGAAGTCCAGGGCTGTCGAACGCCGCATCGAGCATGCAGCTTGGGCCGGGAGACAGGAGGGCTTCAGAGCCTGAAGGGTCCGAGACACTATTGAATTGACCTGGGAAGGGTGGGGGGAGCGCGGAATTGGCTGCCTCATCAGAGGTCGCCGATTGTCGATTGTGAGCAGCTTCGCTCAGGCTGAACGAACCATTGCAGCGACGAGGTTGGTCATGGCTGGGTACCAAGGTAAGGTACTATGTAGCTACTTGGGGGCGGCGTCATGGTGACGACGGCAGGACAGGTTAGCGGTGCCTCACTCATAGATGACCAAGCATGACAGGCTCCACCTGCGGCTGGGAGTGTGTTCGTTTTGCGTCGCATTGCACACACAAAGTTGGCTGGGGAGATCAAACACGGTCGGTAGTGGGAAGTCAGCGTAGTGGGAAGCCCTGGCGAGGGGCAGAGGCGGGGCGGCTCAGAGTGGCTTGGAAGCAGACAGAACAGAGTCTGGTTTTTGCCAGGGTCACGAGGTGGCCCTTTCCACCATCCATCATGCCGCGAGCCTTGAGCGCGACGAGAAGAGGACGACATCGGCAGTTCCTGACGTGACCAGGCGACAGGGCCGTTGATCTTCGTAGCCGGTGTCCTGAATCGTGGTGTCTGACCTCGCTTGTCGTTCAACTGTCGCAAGGCGGGAGACTAGACAGCCGCCTGGGTGGGGGGGGGACTCGACCCCAGTGGGGTTGACAAACGCCTTAGCGGACCTCTGTCGGATCCCCGGTCGTCCCAGTCCGCCATGGCGGTTCCAGAAAGCAAGCCGGCTCTTGAACGCATGTGGGAACTTGTTGGTCACGGAAGACCCTTCAAGCGACGAGGAAGCATGAGGCTCGCTGGGCTCGCCCTGCGTACCTAAGGTACGCAAAGGCTGACGGACGGGATCGGGGACAGCTGGGTGCTCTGTGCTCCATGCTCTATGCTCTGTGCTTTGTGCTCTGTGCTTTATGCTCTCAACGGCGCGAGCTCTGACATTGGGTTCTCGGGCCGCAGGACGGTGTGCAAACTATTGGCAACACCAGCTTCGCCATTGGACGGGGGCCAAGAGTGAACGACACCGAGCAGTTGGCAGGTTCTTCGGGCCCTTGGGGCCCACTTGCTTGTCATTGTCAGGTACATGGCACAACAAGGGGCAGGAGATACCACGACTCCTCTCCCTCACCCTCACCCTCACCCTCACCAGTCGCCAGTCGCCAGTCACCACCTCAGATAGGGCTGTAGCGTATCATCCGTTATACCTATACATCGTACCAGAATAGGTTCTCAGGCAATACCTATCTGAGCACAGGTTCTGGAGAGGGGAATCACGTGCCTCGAGGTAGGTGCGCCTCATGCCATGAGCAGTTGCCGAGTTCAAGTTACCATGCACAAGCGACCTCAAATCTCCTCCTGCATAGGTACCTCTGGGCAGACGCCTATGCACGTATCTCGGTATCCAACTCTTGCGTCTGCCTTGTGCCTTGTGCCTTGTGCCTTCTGCCTTCTGCCTTCTGCCTTCTGCCTTCTGCCTTCTGCCTTCTGCCTTCTGCCTTCTGCCTTCTGCACACCTCCTTCTACCGCAGGCAGGCAGGCAGGCAGGCAGGCAGGCAGGTGCTTGGGAAGCCCCTTCGCAGTGGCAAGAAATTGTCTTCTTGCCCGTCATCAAAGACAGAGCAGAAACACGATGCGCGACACACATTCTCCCAAGATTCGCAATCTCTCAACTGCATCTCATCCATTTCACTCTCGGGCATTTCGACCTCGTCGTCCAACCGCATTGCCCCTGATGGCATCGCGTGCCTTGCCCCCCTCGCCACGGTAATCGCCGACCTCAATGCCAATGCGTCAAGCCGTTGCCCGTCGTAGACGGCGATCAGACGCTAGAACGACCCTTCTACCTTCTAGAAGTCCCCCAGCCTGGGCCAAGGGGTCGCATAACGCAGCAATTAATTGCCAGGTCCAGCCTGCATACCCATTTCGACCATGTGTCATGCGCATCCTGGTATCCCGGTTCCCATTCCGACCATCTGTCTGCCTCCGCCTGCCTCTGCCTCGTCTCTGACGCCGCTGAAGAAACGCGGGATTGATTTACGTCGGTTGACAAACGAACCGCGCGACCCTCGAATCTCACACGACGACGCCGTCAGGGCGCATCGCATCGCGTCGAGGCGCATCGCATCGCGTCGAGGCGCATCGCATCGACCCCTCGATGGCCACAGCGGCGCCACAACCGTGTGTCGTCTGATCATCGCGTCAGCAAAGCCCGACTCCGCGAAATACAACAGAATGGACGAGGGGACACGTACCACGACCTGCATGCCGGTCCACGGCTGTCATGTCAAAACGTCCCAGCACTATAGCCCACGTTTCTTCCCCGCAAGTCGCCCAATTACTCGTCCTTACTTGTCGTTGCATTGCATTGCCGAATCGCTGGCATACATGTACATCCTGCAGCACTTTGCCCCGAGGACCTCTCCCCTTTCACATTCCATTCTACCACGTCGCGTTACATGCGTTCCCTAACGCCTGAGGTACCGTCAACCTGAACGTCGTCTTGCTGCCGCCGCGGTACTGTACATGAAAAAGCTGAAGCTGGTTTTCCCATCCATACACCCCCCTCCCCTGATTCTCTCTGCTCTGTGTGTCATCCAGGGTCTCAATACCCCGTGTCTGCTCGCGCTTCCATCGATCCGGTCACGGATGCAGCTCACGTCTGAGCGCAATGCCCGAATCGTCACGCACAGCCCGGACAAGGACCTGGCAACGAACAGGCGAGATGGATTTGTCTTCTCTTGCCGCTCAATATTCTTTTGGCCCCCCCCCCCCCCGGTGTCCCTTCCTCGGCAATCTCGACACTAGCCTGCTCGCCCTATCGCGTGGCTCAACTGCCTCTTCCCACGGTTCTGTTATACCCTCCCCAGCTCCAATATAGCCCCTCCACCACGACAGGTGCGCACCAAGTTTTTGCTTCCGGGTTTCTTTCCCTAAGCCTTGGAATGTACCT